CCAAAGTTTGCACAGATAAATTGTTTCCCAGATAACCCACTTAGACAAAGTGTTATTGCATCAGATAAGGGAAAAAGCCGATAAGAAGCAGATCCTGCCAATTTCCTCCTTCCCGATAAGACACAGCTGCATCTGACAGTGCAAAACTGCCCCCCAAGGAAGGTRTGGAGGCATTTCCCCAAGACTGAACACATATAACCCATGGAAGTCTTTGYTGGGTGGGCTCCTAATGTATCCAGACTGTGACCATTATGTTGACCACTGAAACTGAAATTGCAATRATCAAATCTCATTAACGGATCCATTGGTGGTAATAACTTTCCTGTCCATTATTATTGGCCTTTCCTTCTCCTTCTTTCCCTTATTGTTTTCACTTTGTGTTATTTTTATATTTTTATGGAAAATAATCAAAACRGCTGTATACCTCCTTTTCTTTTAAATTGTTTCAAAATAAACCTGCCTCATGTACATACATYGGTCATTCTGTGTCATTTCACTCTAATTCACCCCAAGGGATCTATTAACAAGAACTCAGTTACCACTGAAAGGTGGGTTGTAACACCCATCCCTCAAAGTGCTCAAGGCCAGGTCAGATGGGGTTTGGAGCAACCTGGTCTAGTGGAAGGTGTCCCTGCCYRTGGCAGGGAGCTTGGAACAAGATCTTCACGCCACCATGTCTCCAAACCTYGCTGCACCTTCTCCCAAGACAGGCTGCTGCACCCCCACTCTGGAAAGGCTTTTGATCATTCAGAGTGAGCRTGAACTCTGCTGAACTTTCACAGAGAGAACTGATGGATTTTCTTGCCTCCTAAACCATCAAATTGAGGTGGCATACCTTTTGGGAAGATGTGTTAATCAAATGAAAGCTATCAAATTCAATAGAGCAGCAAGTGTGACACGTTGAAAATCAAATAGTTCTCTCCCGTGAATCACCCTGTCCTTACATTCTGTGAACCCGAGGAACAAGAAAGGCTGCCRAAATTTAACCACTAACAGTAAAACCAGGACTGACATTTCAGCTTTGTTCCGAGCTGATTTGTCAAACTGACATTTCCAGTGATCTGGTGACACCAGTTTTCCAATGAAAAAGGACTGGAGAGAGACAGGGTGACAGCAGCAGCGATGGGCCAGCCGAGTCCTGTAGGTGTTTGCAGGAGTCAGAAGTGACAAGGTTCATCTGATGCATCTATTACCAAGCAGTAGAACTGCACAGTCCTTTTCTTACCCTGCTGGAATCATAGAAAATCCAGAGTGGAAAGTGACCTTACAGGCATGAAAGTTTAACTCCTGGTCCTGTGCAGAACCACCCAAAGAATGTATAGTATAAATATATTATAAAGCATGCATATCTCATATATATGAAATATAACTCGGTTGCTGCCTAGTGTTAGATGTASCTGAGGCTGGAAGCTTATATATAAATATGTACACAAAGTGTAAAAAATCAGATCCCAGAGAAAGTTTCCAGCCATTTGGGAAAATCCATTGTAARAACCTTCATTGTTGTCCTGGAGAATGGTGAAGGAATATTGCAGGAGGAGGGAATGGGAGAACAGACAAAGCCGTGGCAGAAGGAAAGGATGAGAAAAAGAGCAAAAGAACAAAATGCCTGTTGGATATTCCCAAAGAAAAGACAGTCATTCTCACCTTCTTCAATCATTTATATATTTCAGTTTTCAGGAACATTCCCYCACCTTGTGAGTTGCCAACCTACAGATGGAAGGACAGACTTAGTGGCTTTACCATTAGCATTTCCTGTAGTTTTCCAGAATTTCAGTCCAGAAGACCTGCATAACCTGATTAATCAGCTGTTCCTGTGCAAACACRTCTATTTAAGGTTATGGGGGCAGGGAGTTCCAACAAAAAAAAACCCTCATATTTGTGTTTGGAGGATTCCTGGAGGAAAGGCAGAGCAAGCAGCCTATGGGGAACTCCCACAGCACCAAATAAACAAACTGTCACACGCTTCCAGAAATATACGTAACGCAACATATGTTGTTGGGAATTTTAAGTCCCATTTTAAATTTGTGTATGTTACAGAAGAACTTAATTAAACAGGAGAGTMAAAAAATATGTCAGGGATCTATGGCAAATGAGCAGAAAAATCCYGMAGACAGCCTAGGCTGCACATTTCATAAAAGAGGATGAGGAATGGCCCAGACAAGGCACCCTAGGAGCACAGCTTCTCTGGACACTGCTCCCCAGGTGCAGCTTCCTCCAGCCCCGGGATGTGGCAGTGGGCACATCCTGACCTGCTACTGCCTCTGAGTGCAGGAGTGGGCAACCTGGGACATCACACATGGGGCTGCTGCAGAACACAAACCAACAGAAGGAGTAACATGGAGTTTATTTTTACTTGCCTGCATGTTTTGAGGTCAGCCACAATCTATTTAAGTTGTTGGTGTAATTTCAGTAATCGCAGTCTTTTCATATATCCTTATTTATGGTGTTCTGGTTATTTACCGTGTTAATTGAGGTTGTGGGGCATAAAACCAAGTTAATATAAGGGTTTTGTTGCCAATTAACACGTTCMCATTTGTAGAGTTAGATAATCACTAGCTGCTATGCTCCTGGTTGTAATTCACGAGTTATTTTGCATAATTACCTCCCAGTCACTTCTCACAAGGGTAAGACAAATCCTCCTGTCCCAGCCTCCTCACCAGACCTACTGCRCAAAACAGAGGGACTGCTCACTCGCAGGGGTGTTTTTTTAATTATGCACCACTGCACAACACTTAAGACATTAAATGGCTTGAATCCTCTGGCCATGGGCAAGGCATTTCTCAGTGCCACATGGTATTGTCAGAATTTTTAAAGGAAACACAATTTTTCCTTAATCTCCTGATCACTGGGTGAAGTGGRAGCTGCTGTGTTCAGCATAGCTCCAGGCAACTGTAGGTTTGGGGGGACAAACACGACTCAGAGCATAAGGCTGCCCTTCCCTACCTGCAGGGCAGAGAAGTTCATGCCAACCAAATCCACCTTAACTTGTGCTCCAGACTGGTAATGGATATCASTTCCTGGAAKTGTTCAAGGCCAGGCTGGACTGGGCTTTCAGTAACCTGGTCTAGTGGAARGTGTCCCTGCCCATGGCAGGGGGGTGGAATGAGATGGACTTCAAGATCCCTTACAACCCAAACTGTTCTGGGATTTTGTGATAATGGAGTCTCCCATAATCTCTTCCCATTCTCARGTTGCATTTCCACCCAATAAGTGTACACTGGACTTGCACCAGCTGACATCTAACACAATGGGATTTCCCTAAATCCAAACAGATGTTTTCACAGCTCCATCTTTGGGGACTGCCCTACTGCTTGTTAACAGAAGCCCAATTAGCCACTTGGCCTGCACATACCCCCATTTTCTTGCACACCTGCAGCCAGACTGAAAKATTTCAGATCATGAACTCAGCCAGAACCCCACAGCCAGAACCCCTGGGAGCACAGCCTGTTCCTCCACACAGAGTTCTGCACTTTATACCTTCACCACGGAGTTAACTTTGGCTCCRCAAATAAACTGAGCTGACTTTCAACTGCTGAAATAAACTGTTACACAAGAAGCAGTGTTTTGGTGGTATGTGTTGATCAGGAACCTGGCCAGGAGCACTGCTGCTCCATGYCACCTTGCTCTGCCCAATTCTTCCTGTGGGTTTCCTGCATATTTTCCTCTCCCTCCAAAGAACGAAGGCATCCATTCATCTCGCACTTTCCTTAGGAGAGCACACTTARTGGTTTCATAACCCAAGTGATGCCAGGATTCTTGCAAAATTCTTCCACAAACAAATAGTACTCTGAAGGCATTTTTAGGGTCTTCAGAATAAAGGCACATTTTCTTGCCTCAGGCTTTCCCACTTCCCTTTCTAACTGCTTCCGAAACCTCTTCAGATCCTTTGCTAAGCAGCTGTTCTTCCTCAGCTGGGTAGAAAGAGAAATACAAGATTCAGCACAACAAATGCTCCCACAGTATGACTTGCTTTAATTGCCCTTGAGAAACAATCTGGGGATCAACTGAACCACATATTCYGAGAAGAAAAAGAAATAAATATGGATACCACTGAGAACGGCTTTTTCTTTGTTSTATAAGAGGATCAATTTCAATTTTTTTTCTCTCTGTATGAACACTAGGAGCTAGAACAAAGCAAGTCTTACAGTCCATGTTCTACCTTCTTATTGTAGTTTTCCTGCGCAGCAAGAACCTGCCTCTCCAGGACAGGCAGCTGCCCACCATGACTGCAGCAGCCCAGTCCCACCACTCCTGAACCACTGCTGGTCAAGCCAGTGTTACAAAGCACCCTCAGCCTCCATCTGTAGAGTCACAGACTYGTATGGGTTGGGAGGGATCTTAAAGCTCATCCAGTTCCATCCTCTTGCCATGGGTGGGGACCTCTTCCACGAGACCAGGCTGCAGCCCTGGTGAGGATTAAGGCTCCCAGGGGAATCACATCCCGCTCAGCCTCTGTGCTGCATGGAGACATCATGGAGATGATGCCTGTCTTCATCAGGAGAAGGCAGAGCTGTAGGTGCTTATACATTGGAATGGGCTGCCCAGGGAGATGGTGGAATCACTGTCCCTGGAGGTGCTTAAAGAAAAGCTGGAGTGGCACCCTGGTCTGGTTAACARGGTAGTGTTCAGTCATAGGCTGGACTCAATGATCTCAGAAGTCTTTTCCAACYGAATTWATTCTGTTACACCTGTAGCATCTAAACCTGCCCATAGATACCAACCACAATCCCCAGACACAGTGGGATGCCCGGGGAGGGTGCTGTCCTCGGTCTCACCTGCCAGGGAGCGTATGGGCCTTAACGCACCGTCCAGTGGGTGTGCGGGAGCCAGGATACACAGCCGGGAAYCCTCCTGGAGCTCACCGGAACGCTGCCAGGCCCCGCTTGGAGCCGGACCGGGCCGCGACCCCCGACCCCCCACCCCGGCCCGTCTGTGAGGGCGGCCGGAGCCCGCGCGCCGTCCCCATGGCAACCGCGCGGCCGTGCGCCAGGGGGCGCTCTCGGCACCCGCACCCCCACAGAGCCCCCTCAGAGCTCTGATCCCCCTCACYGTCCCGACACTCCGGGCACCCCTCGGCCGGAGCCTGCTGCGGGCTGGCGGTGACAGCCAGCGGGGAACCCCTCACCCTTTCGTCCTCGCTGGCACTGCCCATCCTGCGGCKCTGCGAAGTCCCCAGGACACTTCCGCAGACTCCCGGGCAGGGCAGAGATCCTGCGGCACCTGGCTGCAGGTGGGCACGGGCAGGGGTGGGCTTGGAGCCGGCAGGGCAGGGGGAGGTGCGGTGCAGGCGGGGGTGGGCACGGAGCGGGCAGGGTGGGCACGGTACGAGCAGGGGGTTGGCACGCTGTGGGCAGGGCAGGGATAGGTATGGTGCAGGCAGAGGTGGGAATGGCGTGGGCAGGGGTGGGCACGCTGCCGGGCGCTTCTCCGCGTAGCCGCACAGACCTTCCTTGATGGAGCGGGACAAAGGTTTTGTTCTTCTCCCAACAGTGCAGCCTTGTGCGGCCGCGGGCAGCGGCGACAGGCAGCAGCCAGCGCGGCCCCGTGCTCCCACGCCACGGCGCAGGGGGGGAGTTTCTCCTCCTTTGTCTGCTCCCGGCCAGGCAGCAGCCGGTGCGCGGCAGCGCCGGAACAGCCGGGGAAGGGCCTCGGCAGCAGCCGCGGAGGACGGCGGCCGCGGTCTCCTCTGCCCCGGCACAGCCACCGGCTCGGCCTCGCCGCGCTGGGAACGAGCAGCGATCCCGGGGGATCCAAGCTCTTCATGACGGSAACCCGACCGGGCAGCGGGGACGGCAGCCGCGCCCGGGGACGGGGAGGACGGCAGCATTGGGGACAAGGACGCGCGCGCCCCGTCCCCTCCCCCGGCGCCCGCCGTCGGCCATGGGGAACGGCATGAGCCAGGTAACGGGGAGCGCTGGGGCGGCTGCTCTGCAGCTCGGCGGCTCGTCCGGTGCCGGTGCTGGGAGACCCTTACCTCGAGGGTTCCTCTGCCGTGCCAAGCGGCGTTTCACCTGCCGGCACCGGATCCGGCACAGTGCTCGGCTCTCAGGCATTTTGTTTATCTGCCGGCAGAGCAAAACCGGAGGTGAAACAGGCAGGGACTCTATGCTGGGATTCGTCCCGACAGCTGTCCGGGGGGTGTGGAGGGCAGGGGTCACAGCGAGTTCCTTCAAGGAAAGGGGGAACCTTTCCCAACACTTTTAATCCCAAGGAACCAGCTCCAAGCACACGCTGGGAGCCCTATAGGACCCCGAGCCTGGTGGTCCTACACCCCTTGCTCAGCGGGGCTGGGCTGTGTGTGGGGCTCGGCATCACGGGGCAGAGGGGATGGGCACTATTTTATTTATGTGCTGCCCCGCTTTCTCCTCTGAGGAGCGGGTCAGCAGGGTGCTGGGGACAGGCACATGCTGTTTATTCATGGTTCAGTGTCCTGCCCTTGGGAGCTGCCCTTGCTAACTGGCGCTCTCCCACTCGCTCCTCTCGGTGCTGCAGCTGCGAATTAAAGGCACCCCGTCGATAGGAAATTGATCTAAAATCTCAGGAATCACAAAAAAAAACCACCCTTCTTTAAGCTGTTCAGTTGAGAGAAACGTTTCCAAATGTGAGCAGTGAGACAAGTGTGAGACCAGCTGYGCTGGTGAAAATCACCTCTACCTGCCCTGGGAACCAAAATATTGCTGCAGGGAGAAAAGTGGAAAGCTGGCTGGATACAGGATTGAACTCATTGCCCAGGCTGTGAGTGAGAGAGAATWTAAAATAGCTCTGGCTGAGAAGGGTTGCAAGGTGTCCTGCTTCTACATCTGCATTGCTGTTAAGAGAGGCCTTGTCAAGTAATTATCTTTTCATCATGAGAAGTGGAATTTCCCAGGGGAAATGAGCTGAAAGCACAGTGTCGAGAGCAATCTGTGCTTGGGCTGTGAGAAATGGGCTCCCTGCAGTGCAGAGTGAGGGGAGCAGAGCTCGGGGCTGGAGGGGGACAGTCACATCCCCTTCAAGCTTCTCTGTGCCTGTTGCTTTTCCGTCTCTCGGGCAGCAGGGCTTCCACAGGCCATGGGTATAGATCAAGACTGTACAAAGGTGTGTGCAACTTGCTGAGCTCAGGTAATAAACCCCAAYGGAGGATTTATTGATGATAAACAAAAGGAGCAATAAAAAAAAGCAATGTCTGGATCTCAGCACCCATGAGAGTGCAGTCCTGGGTGGTTGTAGGTGCCAGGGCTACATCCAGCCCCCATCCTGGTTGCCAGGGCAGTGGCAGCCCTGGGAATGCACAGGGCCAGCTGCACTGGCAGTGTTCCTGCCCTGGGGCTGGCGATGATCATGTCAATGCCAGAACTTTGGCCTCTCCAGCCAAGGTCACTGCTTCCCAGAGTGGGTCCCAGCACAGWGGGTACCGCAGCGCAAGATCACTGCTCACACTGCCACTTCCCCTTGTGTCCCACAGATCCTTCCCGGCCTCTACCTTGGGAACTTTGTCGGTAAGTGGAGCCCGGCTGCTGCAGAGATGTTCTCCAGCTGGGGAGTGGGGCTTGCTTGAATTGGTGTCTCCCTGCCTGCAATGCTGCCTGACATCCTGCCTGCACCCACTGCCCTGCCTGCACCCACTGCCCTGCCTGCACCCACCGCCCTGCCTGCACCCACGGCCTGCTCTGCTCTGTCACCCAGTTTGGGCTGGCAGTAATGGGACTGAAAGCACTGCAGGAAAGGCAAGGCAGAGACCCCCTGCCTTTGCACAGTCTCCTGATTTAACTGATGCCCTGAGCTCTTGGAGTACATAATGTGGATCCCATGCCAGGAGTGAGGCACATCAGGGTGATGCTACCCAGTTTTGCAGCTGTAGAAGAGGCCAGAGTGGGCTGCTCACCCTCAGGAGGGAATTTCTCCCAGAGGCAGATACCCCTTCTCATACCAAGTCACTATTTTAAGGGGTTTTCTGTGTCAGGGGACTGTTAATGACGAAGCATTGGCATTTGCCATGACAAAACAGCTTTATTAATACTCCTGCCTCTCTGATGGCTCCTTTGCCAGCTCAATTCCTGCTGTAAGCACTGCAGAAGTTTAAAACCATTGTTGTGAATTGCCAGGGCAATGTCACTGGAGTGGCAGCCCTGTGCCTCCTGTGCCCCATGGAGCACCTTGGGTTGAGCTGGGGGGGCTGTGGCTTGCTGGGAGCAGAGAGACAAGGGCATCCAGCTCCCAGGTTCATCAGGAGGGCTCCTGTGAGCAGCCTCTGCTGTGGGGCCTAGGTCTGATGCGATCCAAACATCCCTCATCACTCTGCCAGGCAATCCAGGCGCATGAGAAGATTCTAGGCCTGCAACATTAAGCTCACAGAGATACTTTGTCCAACTGGAAGCTTTTCCATGCCCCGTAAGCCTTGATTCCAGTGTCACCACTTGCTGTCACTGCCTGCSAAGGTGGATGGGAAGGTGGCAGGTGCTGTGTGAGTCCCCACAAGGGTCCCCATCTCCCTCCCCACACGCAGTGCAGCTCCCCTGCAGAGCATCTCCCTTGAGACTCCCTCCTGTTAAAATTCACATCATGCCATTAGCACATCGTGGGCTGGATTCATGAGCCAAGGTTTTACACCACGTGAAAGTTTAGAAACCCAAAGAATRAGATGGGGAAATGTTTCCTCTCCTCTCTGGCTGCACTTGCAGCATCTGCTGGTTGTTGCATGAAAGGGAGACACTCGGAAGCTGCTCAGCAAGACAAGCATGCTCCCCTCCCTGTGCAATCCTGTACTGGACCAGAGGCAMGAATCACAGCCAGAATGCTGAAGCATTAGTGAGAGGTAAGGCATTGCCCCCAACAGTGGAGGACACCCTATTTTTGTCCATGCAGCTGCAGAAAGGGCAGAGGAGGGAGCAGCAAGTCACTGCTCAGGTATTTTCTACAGAAAATCAAAGTTGATATAAATTGCTGCAGCTCCACTTGCATAGTTCACAAGATAAAGCATATCCCTCAGGCTGCAGCAAGTCACAGAGCTACGTGTGTGTCTGCTCAAGGAGGTGTGGGCAGGGCACATGTCTCCTCCCAAACTGGGGACAAGTACGGGCAGGAGGGACACTGCYTGCTGACACAGAGCATTTCTGTGCAGGTTTGAATGGTTCAATCAACATGAGTGCAAGGACAAGGGATCAGGCAGAGGCCTCTGGTTTGGGATCGCAGGACTGGCATTCCAGGTTTCCAYGTTTGCCCATGTCTGCACTGCTGCATGTGGGGGTGGGATGCAGTCAATCTGCTGGAGCAAGGCTCTTGTGTGCTGGCTGGCTGTAGAAGCAGGGTGGGAGTGCTGTGGGAAGAGAAGGGTAAGAAATGAACACATGTTGATGTCTAGTTTTATCCTTCAGATGCCAAAGACCTGGAGCAGCTAAGCCGGAACAAGATCACCCACATCGTTTCAATCCATGAGTCCCCACAGCCCTTGCTGAAGGTAGAGTCCTGCACCAGATGTCACGGTGTAGATTCCTGCAGCTCCTTCCATGCTGCATTTTCTTTCCCCCTCTGAGCATGCCATGGCACCTCGCCTTGGTCACTAATCYCAGAGGAGCTGGGTGGCCCCCCAGCATGGGAAACTGGCTGTCTTGTGACTGTAACCCGGCCTTGAACACTGACGGGAAACAATTTCCAGCTCTCCAGACTCATCTTATTTCCCATCCCCTCCCACGAGTTGCTGGTCTCCCCTTGCCCTGCCCTTCACTCCCGGGAGAGTGTGACCTCTTCCCCATGCAGGGGGATGCTGTGTGGGGGGAGCAAAACCCCTCAAGCAGCTGTGGGTGAGGAGCAAAGGCACTGCCAGCTGCGCTCTTACCATGTATGACACCCTAGCTGCAGTGTCTGAGCCTCTCCTTACTGTATCTTTCAGGACATTACTTACCTCCGCATCCCCCTGCCTGACACCCCTGAAGCCAACATGTGAGTACCTTAGCGGGGCTGGGGATGTGTGGGGAGGTGGGAGCGCAGCCAGGGGTGAGGGCTCACAGCTTTCCAAACCCTCGATGTGCTGCCTTCAGCTCCTCAAGCACAGAGACCCACAGGCTGGAGATGTGATGCCACAGTGCAGGGGACCACCCCTGGATCCCAGCAGCATCCCACTTCAGTGCCTGTTGTGAGGATATGAGTTGTGGGTTCAGGTGAGGGGCAGCCACTCTGCAGCACCCATGGAGAGAGCAGCAAGAATCCCCGTGGCAAGTGTCTGGAGAGGGGAGAGCACATAAAGGGTGTGGAGTCAGCCAAGGGCACAGGCGTGGCTGGAGGCGCGAGCAGCCAGAGTCCCACTGCCCCAGCATGAGTCACACAAGTCACAGGGTAGCCCCGTGCATCCCCAGCACAGTGTCCCACTCTGTGTCCCCAGCACGGAATGAGCTGGCAGAGCTGCCTTCCCTTGGGAATAAACAGCACTGAGCTGCTCAGGTCTCAGCAGTGGCTGGCAGAGCCCCTAAAACAACTCAAACATGCGGGGCTGCTCTTCCTGCAGCTAAAAATGCTGTTCCACCCCTAAAGTTCTTATTCTGTCTGGTTTATTTTTCCTGCTAGCAAGAGGCACTTCAAGGAATGCATCAGTTTCATCCACCAGTGTCGCCTGCATGGAGGGAACTGCCTCGTCCACTGGTAATGCTTCTWTGTCTGTGCCCACTACTGTGTCCCCCAGCTCAGCAGAGATCCAGCCCCCAGCCCATCACATGAACTGCAGAACTCTGATCAAAGCCAGCGTGTGCCAGAGGGCTCTGTGCCCGTGGATCCACCCAGGATCCACCCTTGGCTGTGGCTTGTGACTCAAACCCGGCAGGATCCAGCCAGTCCTGGAGCCAGGGCAGCTTTTTGTTGCAGCTGAGCACACGGGATGAGCGGAGTTTGGGGCAGGCATCCAGGCAGTGGCTGCTGCTCCTGTTCCCTGGAGAGGAGTGGGTATTTATAGGCACTGATGGCCTGGACTTTGGGAGGGCTCAGGCCTTCAGGAGAGCAAGTCCTTGGAGAAGAAGAACTGAAATATCTGAGACACAGGGGTGGAAGAAGAGGCAAGCATGGGGTCAGGGTGTGCCACTAACCCCAGCCCTTCTGCACTTTCCTTTTCCAGCCTCGCTGGCATCTCYCGCAGTACCACTGTGGTCGTCGCCTACGTCATGGTCGTCACGGAGCTGAGCTGCCAGGAGGTGCTGGATGCCATCCGAACCATCCGGCCCGTCGCCAACCCCAACCCCGGCTTCAGGCAGCAGCTGTCTGAGTTCAGCGGCAGCGCRGCCCGCAAGGTGGGAGCAGCCTCTGCCACCCGTGCTCTGCTCCGTGGCTGAGCCTGCCGTGGGTCTCAGAGTATGGATGAGTCCTGAGGGGACTCGGTTTCTTCTCTGCTCCCCTTGCTGGCAGGYTTAGACCTGTTCTTGTAAACCAACACCTTATTTTGCCTCTCGCTCCTTCCCCAGGTCCGCAGGCACCTGAAGCAGAAGTATGGGATGTCCCCTTTCAATGATGAGGAAGAAATAAAGGCTTTGCTCCCGGCAGGGAGAGAAGGAGCGTCCAGGACAGAGGGAGCTGTGCAAGGACTGGTCCCAAGAGCCAGAGACATGAGAAGCACAAGTCCCTTCCTGCTGCGGGTGAAGAGGACATTCTCCTGCATCCCAGCTTGTCTGAAGTGACACCAGCCAAGGGAGAGCAGTGAGATTCACCCAACAGCCTGGGGGAGATGAAGGAGATGCCACACAGTGGGACAGGAAACACTGGGCTGGAACTTGCAYCAAACCCAGCTCCTTCTTCTCTTCTGGGGGTGGGAACATTCCACCCTCTGTGTGGGCAGGCTTCATGGACATTGTTGGGCTTTGCAGCACATGCTGGGCTCATCCTCTTCGCATCTGGCATGCTGGGGACACTGGTCTCTGCCCCTGGGTCACTGCAGGCTCCAGGTTGGGACAGAACACACAGCGGGGCTCTCCTGCCACAGGCCAATACCCAGGTGTTGCCAGCAGCAGATTCAGCACTTGGGTACCCACTGCACGGACCTCAGGGTGCACGGGAGAGCCGGTGCTCCCCTCAGAGTGGTTTTCCCACCAGCAGCACAAGCTCCCAGCATCCAGGTGGCTGTGGAGCAGGGACACACAAGTGTGCCAGCAAGTMATGCCACCACACGGGCTCCCAGGCAAGGGTCCAGCTCCAGACTGGCCAAGCACAAGCCCTGAGCAAGCATTGTAGCTTTAGGAATCCATTGTTACCCCATTCCCACTCATCCCAGGGCACAATCTGTAACAGGTGGGAACCGAGCATTTAACCTGGCCAGACCTCACTAGAGCAGAGCCTTAAGCCATTTTGCTTAAAGACTTTCTATGTCCCCCAGTAATAAACACCCTCCTCTGTGGTCTGACTCCCCTGTGATGGCTGGGTTRAAATGGGAATGCTGAGGATGAAGGCCCCAGCATGGGACAGGTCTGGAGCTGCTGCTGGCCACTCTCTAAGCCTAGTGGACAGTGGGGAAGGAGGGGGTGGGAGCAGCAGGTGGAAGCCCACCTGGAGCCAGTTTCACTGTAGCCTCTCCACTCACTGGATCCAGCAGCACCAGGTCCAGGAGTCTACTGGTCAGCTGCTGGGAGTACTGGGAGCCWGGCATCAGCTCAGTATCACAAGCTCCAGGCCTGTCACATTTACCCTTTTCCTGGAGCAGAGTCCCAGGTGGGGAAGATTGTGAGCATGCCCAGTTGGGTCATCAGCACTGTTCCTCTTGGGAGTCAGAACATGTTTCTGGGGTTCCCCTCATCCCTGCCACCCCTCTCCTAGGGGGAAGGGATCCCCCAAGAGACAAAGCTTCAAGACTAGGGTTCCTTCCTGCTGCAAGCATCTGCCTGCTGGGCTGGGTGCTGCCTTGGGGTGACCCAGGCAGACTGGGAGCTCCATTCCCCCCCTCTCTGGATAGATAYTGAGCCAATTGAATAACCAGGGGTGCATCATCCTTGACTGCTCCTATACCATCCGCTGTGGGATGCCCATCTCCTCYCACTTCCTTCCAGAGTTTTCTTCCCACTCCCTCACCCCAATGCCAGGACTGTGCACCACCCTTTGTCCCCCCCAGTGCCCAGCAGGATGGTGGACCCACAGCCCASGATCACACACCCGGGATGGATGTGTGCCTCATGCACAACTGCACCTTCCCACACTGGGACACCCTACGTCAAGGTATTTACACCCAGAGGTTCCCACTGTAAATCACACAGGACTCTGGCCCCTCCAGCTCACTGCCACAGCACAGCAGAATGTATTTATTTTGGCAGATCTGGTTTGCACAGCTTGGAAAACCCCGGGCAAGGGCAGGGTTAGCTATGAGTTAATGTTTGACTCCTTTAGAAGCTCATTTTGGCATGAAAAGTTTAAGGGTTAAGCAGCTTCACCTTCCTTGCGCAGGGAGGTAATCCAGTGGGAAATCTGGCTCCTGAACATCCTCGCTGATGCCCGGGTAATTAGATCCCCCGGGTCCCGCGTCACCAGGCGGCTGCCACACCACATGAAATCCCCGGCCGGCCGATAAAGCTTATCCCTGCAGGCTGGGGCTGACAAACGAGCCGGCRGCTGCGATTATCTCCCGGCCTTGGATGTAATCAGTGCAAGGCACTGGGAGGCTGTGCAKCGCTCTGCTTCCCAAGGCAGAGAGGGGAGATGTGGRTTCTCTGTCGGTCAGTCCCAGGCCCTTTTCCCAGTAACAGGGGCACAGGGGATGCCTGGGCTTCACTTTGCAACGAAGGAGTCCCGGACAGGCTCAGTACAGAGAGAAAACCACTGCCAGCGGGGCTTGCTCGTACACCCTGTGTGGCCCCATGTGCCCTCTGTGCCACGTGGCCGTGCCCTGTCCTCACATCCTCTGGGAAAGCCCGAGACTGGGCTCCCTGCCACCGATTATTCATTTGAAGACTTTGCAGCCCCAACAGCTCTCGGGAACTTTGTTTCTCCTCTCGGCAAGAGGTGACTTTCTCTGACTTAGATCTGGAAAGGAGACCTGGGGGGCTGCGAAAGGAGACTTGGGAGGCAGCAGCCAGGCAGAGGAGCTGGGATTCCCTGCACAGAACCGTGAGGCTCTGCGACAGTGGTGGAGGAACCAACACCAGTGACACCTCAGGGCAGCCCAGTGACCCAGCCCRTGCTGTGCTGGGGGCCAGTGGGGAGCTGGTGCAGGATGTGTCAGGTTCCTGCCCGGGTCCCGGCAGCCCTTGGCACAGCTCATTGCCCTTCCCACCCGTTTCCCGTTCGACTCAACACCCAGAGCCCCACGAGGCAGATGTGAGCTTTAGAGCAGAAGAGACATTTGAGAGATGGGGAAATGTGACCGTTCACACCGCCCTGGAAACTCCGTGCTGTTCCCGCAGCTCCCCACACCCGTGGGGTGAGCAGCTGTACACGGGAGAATGCAGCTCCTGAGCCTGGGAGGTGTCCTGGTCCCCAAAGCAGGAAGAGAGGGGAGCAGGATCCCTTGTCCCCTTCGGGGAGCATGTGGGAGCCCTGWCAGCTTTATGGGAGGCACYCGGGAGGAGTTTAGGGGAGTTCCAYGTGCTTTCTGGTGCCTTGTCCCCACTCCCGTGGTTGCAATGTCTGCCCCTCTCCCGCGGGTGCAAGGGTGCCTCTGCGTTGAGAAATACACCTAGTGCAGGTATCTCGGTATGTAAATTATCAGTGCGAGCGGCACATTGTGTTCTGGATGGCAGGAAAAGGCTGGAGCCCCAGGCAAAAGCCGGGAATGGGCGCCCACTCTTTGCCTAACAAAGCGCACCTCCCGAGGTGGGGGTCGATCACCCAGAGGCTCTGCAGGAGCCAATGAACGAGAGGAAGAGCCTAAAATCACCATTGGTGTACATCGGTGCTCACACTGTGAGGGTATGAAACTTCGGGTATTCTTTTGTTGGGGGTCCCTCCCGGAYGCACCAGCTGCAGCTGTTCCCTCTGCTGTACCGTTCAATTACGACATTACTTTTTCCTGAACACGGATGACTGACGCTGCTGCGGGAAACGTGGGGCAGAGAAAAAATTTTAAGACACGTCCCCTGCGCCGTGGGGCAGCCAGAGCCGGCGGCGCGGGCCAGGAAAGGGAAAGCGAAAGCCGGAGCCGCTTTCGGTTTCGCCGCCGGGCCGCGATGGCGGAGCCSGGGGCGCCCATGCGGCTGAAGGAGTGGCTGATCGCGCAGATCGACAGCGGCCGGTACCCGGGGCTGCGCTGGGAGAACCGGCACCGGACGCTTTTCCGCATCCCCTGGAAGCACGCGGCCAAGCAGGATTACCGGCAGCAGGAGGATGCTGCGCTCTTCAAGGTACCCYGGGCTCCCCGCGGCCCCCACCCCGCTCTGGGAGCGTCCCTGGGACTCGACCCCGGGCTCTGTGTGCACCCCCATTGCCCGGGGCTCCCCACCGCTCAGCTCCGTGCGCGCCGCCGGAATTCCTCAGCCAGCTCCGTGCAGCCGAGCTCCATGCGCCCCTCCAGGGCTCTCCATCGCCGGGCTCTGTGCGCAGCGCTAGGACTTGGCTCCATGCACATCCCTGGGACACGCTGCCCAGCTCCGTGCGCACTCCCGGGGTTCCCAGGGACCCAGCTCCATGTGCTCCCCTGGGACCCCCCACCACCCATTTCCCTGCAGCCCCCAGGATGCACAGCCCCGCTTCCTCACTGCCTCCCCAGCCCCGGCAAACTCATATCCCGGACCCCCTTGGACAGTGGAGCCAGGGGTCAGGTTGTGGCAGCCCCCACAGCACAGGGCACCCTCTGTCCCTCAGGCTTGGGCTGTCTACAAGGGGAAGTACCACGAAGGGACGGACAAGGCCGACCCCTCCACCTGGAAGACKCGGCTGCGCTGCGCCCTCAACAAGAGCACGGACTTCCAGGAGGTGCCTGAGCGGAGCCAGCTGGACATCTCCGAGCCTTACAAAGTGTACCAGATCGTGACTGACAGAGCCTGTGACACAGGTAGGTCCCTGCCGTCCCTCCTCCTGTGCCAGATGTGGGGTTGATGCCTGCATCATGCCTGTACAAGCCCTGTGCCCCACAGACATTACCCTTCYTCCCTGCTCYTCTTCCTCTCTGGRTGTCMCAGRCAGCCAGCTGTCTTCCCTGTGGCTGTTACTGCCATTTGCCGGGGGTTCATCAGTTCTTTCTTGCTCTCTGCAGAGGACAGTGACACACAGTCCCCAGGCAGTGAGGACCAGCAGGTGAGCCTGCCCTGTGCCTTCCAGGCAGGGGAGAAGGTAGGACCCTCAAATTCGACCCTCAAATTCGACCCCCTGCTTGCACAATGCCTGCATCTGTCCTACGGGGCATAAGTGAGGGTCCCTGTGCCAGGCTCAGGCAGGGGATCTGCTGGCATGCGGCGTCCATGGTGGAGGCAGGAGCCAGCTCAGGATCCCCCACTGCCAGCTCAGCCCTCACCAAAGCTGCTCCTACCCCCAGGGCAGCAGAACAGGGAGTCCGAAGAAGGAGGAAAGCCAGAAGGACACACTGGAGACAGCCCATGTGTCTCCACAGCCTCGGCTCTCTGCCCACCCCACTGAGCGAGGTGAGGAGGGTCCCTCTCAGTGGGATGGGGCTGGTGGCAGGGAGCACACGCTTCTGCCAGGATCCTGCTCTTCTGTTCCTCGGGAGCTGAGGTAGTGGCTGGGGACTCCCACTGTACCCCAGCCAGGCCATGCCCTTAGGGGATATAATGAGGCCCAATAATGAGGAAACACAGTGGAAAGTGTGAGCCCAGGGGCTTGGGCCAGGAGAGCACCTGGGAGCACCTGGGAACCATGTCCTTTTACCACCTTCTCTATGCCCTGGTYCAGAGTGCCTTGTGAGGGGAGTCTTCTATGGCTGGAACCCAACCCATGGTCATCTTCTGCCTGGACCCCAGTCCTACCTCCCTGTGGAGGATGTCAACAATTCAGGTAGGAGCCACGCTGGCGGGCAATGCCTTGGGTGGCCCCATCAGCCCAGGCTGCCCATGAACTGACCCTCCCCTTGTCCCAGACTGCTGGCTCCACATCCGCTTGTACTACTGTGACGTGCTGGTGAAGGAGGTGACCACCCGCACGGCCGAGGGCTGCCGCATCACCACCAGCACTGTGCTGGCCGACAGCGAACGCCTCTACGGCCCCTCCTGCATGGAGCAGATCCAGTTCCCCCCGCCGCAGGTGCTCAGTGGCCATGGCCACTTGGCCTGCATGACCGACGTGCTGGAGCGGCTCCTGCCCCACCTGGAGCGCGGGGTGCTGCTGTGGGTAGCGCCTGAGGGGGTCTTCATGAAGCGCCAGTGCCAGGGCAGGGTGTACTGGAACGGGCCACTGGCCCCTCACAAGAACTGGCCCAACAAACTGGAGAGGGAGAAGACCTACAAGCTGCTGGACACACAGCAGTACATACAGCGTAAGGCCCGGGGAGATCCTGCTCCCCTGGGGGAGAGGGACAGGTCCTGCCCTGGTGTGGCTGGTGGGGCCTGTAGGGACCCCGTGTCCCCTGACAGCGCTGGTTTCTTGCAGAGGTGCGGGAGTACCTGAGCAATGGGCAGCTCATGCCGCAGTACCAGATCTACCTGTGCTTCGGGGAGGAATACCCCACCAGAGCCGGGCACCCCTTCCAGAAGCTCATCATGGCTCATGTGAGTATCCACCAGGGCTGGTGACCCCCAGGCCATGCACAGGGACCAYTGCAATGGGGGGACACGGATCTGTGCCCATCCTCCATTGTTCTGTGCCTCTGCAGGTGGAGCCGGTGTTCGCACGCGAGCTCTTCCACCACGCCCAGCGCTTGAGGCCGACACTGCTCTGCAATTCCCCCCAGCCCTGTGCCCCTGGCACCTCCAGCCACGTTCTCCGTGTCCTCAAACAGCTCTGCCAGCCCTGAGCTGGGTGGGAGAGGAGAGTTCAGTTGCCATTAAGTCTCAGTGGGAGGCTCTGAGCCTCATGGCCCCACTCCTGCTTCATGTCCTGAGGCAGAGTATGCAGGGTGCACAGCGTGCAGGACTGGACAAGGACAGATGTTAGCTGGGATGGGCAGGTGCTGCTGCCCCTGTGATCGCTGTATTTATTCCCCAGGAGTCCYCTGGGTGGGATTTGTTGCGTGCCTGTTCAGCGAGCTGGGACAGAACCAGCTCCATCCTTGCACTGTGCACTGCCTGGACTCACCGTTTGTGAACCTTAGAAATAAAGGTTGTGTTTTGTTATTGGTGTTGGGGGCTGGCTTTGGTGTGGGGAACTGCTGCTGGTCTGAGTGGWGCATGGAAGGYGGGGGAAGCTGAGTKTGGASAGAGTCRGATGTGGGCAAAGCCAGCTCAGCCMCAGMCACAGAGGARCAGCATGAGATGACCCCCCGACCCTGTGCTGGCTCCAGACCTGTCCTGCCCCTTGGCAAGGGTGAAGGCAGCAGTGAGATGTCCATCAGCTGCTCTGATGACCCGGCAACACAGAATCCTGTACCAAAAGCACTCACTGCCTGTGCCTCAGTTTCCCCTCATGAGCAGTGTGATGGGGCTCCTGTGATCTATGCTGCACCCGCGGTTTCGGGAATGATGCAAGGACCTGGCACAACAGAGACCTGGCACAGGATTCAGCACAAGCTGGGGTCAAGGGCTGAGGCACCGGGGTGGGCAGGGGGCAGATGGGCACCTGAGGGCAGGCAGCACTCTCAGTCCTGTCAACATCCCTGCACTCGGCTTCTATCCGAGCCCTGCCGGAGCCCAGCTGCACACCGCCAGCAGGGCAGGATGAGAAACAGGTCGTGGGAACCTTCCGTGGGAAAAGGGGCAGGGGGAGCCGGGGGCTGTGCCCGCCTCTGCCCTGGGGAGGCCGGAGCCGTGCCAACCCCGGGGCCACTAACTGCTGGCCGCAGGCCTTGGCGGCACATCCGTCCGTCTGTCCGCAGGGACCAGCGCTGGACGGCAGAGCCCCGCTCCGCCCTGGGCGGCCCCTCAGAGGAGGGGCCCGCCGCCCCCTCGCCGGCCGGCGGGTTTTAACGGGCCGTGCTTGGCCGTGCCGTGCGGCAGAGCGGGAGCGGCGGTAGAGCTGGAACGGCGGCGGCCGCCCGGGAGGATGCAGCCGGACCTCCCCGTCGGAGACGCGGCGCTGCGCAGCCCCCCGGCCCCTGAGCCGGCCGGCGGCCCCTTCCCCAGCGCCGAGGCCACCAAGCCACCCTACAGCTACATCGCYCTCATCACCATGGCCATCCAGAGCGCGCCCGAGCAGCGCATCACCCTCAGCGGCATCTACCGCTACATCATGGGCCGCTTCACCTTCTACCGTGACAACAAGCAGGGCTGGCAGAACAGCATCCGCCACAACCTCTCCCTCAACGAGTGCTTCGTCAARGTGCCCCGTGATGACAAGAAGCCGGGAAAGGGCAACTACTGGACCCTCGACCCCGACTGCTACAACATGTTCGAGAACGGCAGCTTCTTGCGGCGGCGCCGGCGCTTCACCAGGAAGAGGGGCCTCCGGGATGCGCCAGGCACTGAGGGAGATGAGGGGCGCGGAAAGACCCCYAGACAGCAGGCGAGGGGACTGTCCGCTGCCCCGCTGCCTGAGGAGGGGAAGGCAGAGGGGGGCTACACCTCGCCGTTGGCCACAGGACGCCTGCCGAGCCCCGSCAGCCTGTCCGAGGGTGCAGGGGTGCCGGGGTGCGCTGAGCCCTGCGCCCGGCGTCAGCCGCCCAAGGCCAGGCAGCCGTGCCTGTACCTGCCGGACATGCCCCAGCCCAAGGGGCCGTTCTTCACGGCCCCCGAGAGCCGCCCGCCCAAGGAGACTGTCTTCGGGGGGCTCCCGGCGGCGCTGCAGMTACCCCGGCCAGGTCAGTACCCGCTGCCCAGCGAGCGCCCGGCCCAGCACCAGCACCCTGCCCTGCTGCCCGCCCTGCTGCCCACCCAGCACAGGGACCCCCCCCAGGACTCGCCGGCCACCCCAGACACCCCCCCGGGGCAGCTGGAGGGCAAGGAGCTGGCTGCCCCTGGGTTGGGTCCGTGTCAGCCGTTTGGGCAGGTGCCACCTGTGTTCYCTGGCAACCTCCTCGGCACGGGCAAGCCGCCCCCATCCTGCTTCCTGGAGGGAGAGGGCTACACGCAGCCCCACCTGCCCGTGTTCGGCTCCTTCGGCCGGCCGGGCCCGGAGGCRCTGGGCAGCAGTTACCAATGCCGGGTGCAGGCACTGAGCTTCTGCATGAAGGAGCGGCCCTGCGGCACAGCGCTGGAGCAGCTCCTGGCTGCGGCCCCGCCGGCCCCCGCCGCCCCSCGCCAGCCACCCTTCGGGGCTGTGGGGCCACGGGCAGGTGAGCAGAAGGAGCCATGGGGGCCGGGGACCACGATCCCACTGCAGGGGGGTAATGGGTACCCCCTGGGGCTGCCCCCTTGCCTCTACCGGACACCCGGCATGTTCTTCTTCGAGTGAGGGACTCCCCACCCTGGGAACCCAGCACCCAATAAAGCACATTGCCCAACACTGCCTCTGTGGTCTCTGCGCCCCATTCGAGGTGGGCAGGGGCGAACTGGGGACTCTCTGCCCTAGTCCAGGTGCTGCCTGGGGGACACATGTCCTCAAGACCACCTGGCACAGACCCCATCCCCRCCAGTCCCTTTATCAGTGATCAGTCACTGGCTGGATGTTGAGGCCATGCGGGGATGGGGCATGACCTGGATCAGGGCACCTACATCCATGTCCTGGGGAGATGCTGGGGACAAGGTCCTGTTACAGTGTGGGACCAGGAGCCCCTGAAACACCATCTCATGGTAGTATGAAGGAATCTTGTACCTCGGGGTCAGGGGGATGCACTGTAGAAAAAGTTATCCCCCAGTGGAGCCCCACTGTCACCTCTCTGCGCCTGGGTCCACTCCAAGGGCTTGGCTTTGCACAGGGTGTCACACGTGGCACAACTGGCACCAGCCTCAGTGTGTGAGGTTGTAAGTGGACCTGTGTTGCCCCAGACAGATTGTGGGGAGGCACCAGGGGTTGTGGCACAGTCTGAAGGCTCTGCTATGGGGGGACAGGGCTCCCACCCCTCTCTGCCCTTGCTTGTGACTGTGCCAGTGCCTGGCTGGGATTCCAACTAGTCCCTGCAGACTCTTGAGAGCAGGGCAGCCCCAAAGATAGGCTGTGCCAGGGGCTGCAGCTCTGATGGGAACAGCCAGGAAAGTGGATTCCTCCGACCTGAATCATGCAGGGTGGCTGCCAGTGAAGAGGCACCAGCTGAGTCATTGCTGTTGACACTGGGCTRGGCACAGGGACATGCCCCAACTGGCCAGGCTGGGGGACACTGGAGTGGGCAGGGGTCCCCACAYAGCCCCAGGGYGGGACCTGGCCACCAGCCCCTTYCCACACATTGGGACACTCGAGTCARCASCTCTGAGCACTGGAGTGGGGCCAGAGTGATGCTGGTGAAATGGGGAGCTGTGCTTGTGCCCCCCATCCTGCCAATGCCAGGTTGGGAGAGGGAGCTCGCCAGGGGCAGCAGTACCCAGACCCCATGGCACAGCCAGCTCTGGGATACACACGGGACTGGCAGGGGCTCTCCAAGCTGGTGTGGGGACCAAACTTGTGTGTTAAAGTCCCCCCAGCTCCCCAAGGCCAGCAGGACTCCGGTTTGGCCAGTATTGGGGTTCTCTGCACGGGCCATCCTGGCACAGAGGGGCACTGCCGTCACTCRGGGACTGGGAGCACAGCGTCAGCCCTGTTATTAGCCCCCAGACGGCTGCTGCTGGGCCATGGCTGTGTCCCAGCCCCGGGCAGGGCAGGGCTGGGGGGGCCGTCCTTCATCATCGGGGACGGCCACTCAACCCTGGGCCTCTCCTTTCTCCCTTTTTTTTTCCCCTACCCAGTGGAAAACAATATTTGAGCGCCTACATCATGCTGGCGTCTCCGGAGCGGCCGGCGGCGAGCGCGGCTGACCTCAGCCCCCTCCTTCACACGGTCCCCGGGGGCGCGGGAGGAAGCGAGCGCCGCAGCCGTGCCCAGGGGCCGTCTGGTTCCCACGCAGCGTGGCCGGGCCCATCGCCCGCCCCGGCTGGGAACACACGGCCCCGRCCCCACGCTGTGCCCGGGATGGGGTTCCTGTGCTGGGAGCGGTGCGGCGCATCCCACTGTCCCCCAAAACTGCAGCAGCCACTAGGGATGGGGACTCGTGTCCTGCACAGCCTGCACGGCCCGAGAGTGCAGATCAGGGCCATGTGCTCTCCCAGTGCTCCCCTTTCCCGCCCTCACCCTGAATGYCGGTCACACACCCGCTGTTCTCCCAGCTCTGCCTCCTCCCCGGTTCGCAGTGGGTGGCCTGGCCCCCTGCCCGCTCGCCCGCTCCCATCCTGGGCCGTGCCGTGGCCGGGACTGTGCTGCACCCAGTCACGGGGCGAACCTGCTGCTGCCTGCCGGCGGTGCTGCCGGGTGCCAGTGGCGGAGGTGTGCCCACTCCCCTTCCCTCCCCCCACTGCCTGCGGGGCTCCTTGTTCCTGGGTGCCACAGGAGCAGGGTGCATGGGGAACGTGTGCTGCTCCAGGCTCTGGGGATGGATGCTGAGGACACACGTGTGCACACCCAGACTGCAGCGTGCATCCCTGGGGCTGATGAGGACCCCCCACGTAAGGGATGGAACTGCTGTCGTGGCCTGTGCTGGACCAGGAGCCCCAGTGGGACCAGTCCACTGCCTGCAGCTTCAGGGATGGGATCATGGCTATGTCCATGGCTGTGAGCCCTGTGACCCCACTCATCCAGCCCCTGGATGTGTCTCTGTATGGTCCCAGGGTAGGAAGGATGGGAGCTGGAGAAACTAAACTGGGCTGTGGGGTAGGGGTCCCCCACCCTGGGATGTGCATCCCCCTGCTGCAGACATGCACACACRAGGCTGTGTTTGTTCAGGAACTGATCCCCTAGAGCAGCTCAGGGCGCCAGCATTGTCCGGGGCTGATGGTCCATCTGGGAGCCCTGTGGCCACCCCACAGCAGAGCCCTGCAGCCCCTGTGGCCGGCCGGGGCCAGGGCCGGGACCGGGGCGACGCGCGGCTCCTGGGGCCAGACAGGAAGGAGACGTCACCGCCGTGGAGCGTAACTCAAACCAGATGGGGCTGCGCTGGCGTCCAGGCCTGCGGGGTGGTCACCGACAGGAACCGGTCAAAGGCTGCCGGCAGGAAGCGGCTGGGAGGGACGCCTGCGGCGGGATTCGGACTCCAGGCTCTGGCAGCCTTAACCACTTCAGGGCCAGCCACAGCTCCCCTGGGCACAGGGGCACGGGTACCAACCAACCCTTGCCTGGGCATCCCACCCCATATGGGCAGATGCTGAAGATATGAGGATGCCGCTGACTGATAGCTGATCCATCCATCCATCCATCCACCCATCCCTTCCCCCATCCCCCTGGGGTGTTCAGAGCTGTTGGGCGTGGAGACCAGAAACTCTTGGCATTGTGCCTGGCCAGCCCTGCCCAGGACATACCAGGTGGTCCCTGTCCACGGCACAGCCTGGACCCATCCCCTCTATGCCAGAGATAAGACACTGCTCTGCTTCCCACCCTCATCTCACTTATCTTGTGACTGTCAGGCCCTGCGGGTGGGAGCAGTGGCTCCCCAGCCCCTCACAGTGGCAGGTGTMGGCTGTGGGCAGACCTGTACATTTATTTACAAGAAGGCGAGCGCTGGGGTGGGCTCCATTACAGGATGGGTGGGACAGGGTCCCACCAGCCGTGGGACTGGGGACAAGCCTGAAGCCCTTTCCCCTGCTGCAGCCAGTGAGGGTGAGGGGCAGGGTCTCTCTGTGTCTCTCTCCACTGTTTTTCCAGCAGGCACAGAGGGCACAGGCAGCCCCCGAGCAAATACACAGCCCTAGCTTGGGGGGCTCAGCCRTGGCAAAAACCAAAGCTGGGGGACTCTTGCCAGCGCCCATCCTCTCCTGCAGGGGGCAAGGCTGGATGGTGCAAATCCCAGGGGATGCCCATCCTCCGGCAGTGCCGGGGAGGCCCGAGGGGAGCAGGCAGAGGGGCCGGGGATCAGGACAAGGCGCGGGAGCTGGAGCAGCACCCCTCTCCTCATCCCAGCAGGTCCCGCGGAGCCCCGGGGGCGGGGGAGCTGGCGGCCGCAGCGGCGGAGCGGATCCGGTGTGTTGGTGGTCGGGTGAGCCGTGCCGGCCGGAGCGGGGAGCGCGGGCCAGCTGCTCTGCATTAGCCCGCCTCGCTCATCGCGATCTGCCGGGGACGGGTGAGGCAGAGGTTGTGTTTTTCCCCCGCTGGCAGAACCCAAGGGCAGGGAGGGCAGGAGGAACACAAAGCCTCCTTCTTTCYTCGTTGGCTCCCAGCTGGGGACGCCGCTGGAAGCGTGCTTGCTGCTTCCTCCCTTCCTGTGCGAGCAGCAGCTCGGGGCCAGCTCCGCTCCCACATGCCCAGCTGGCCAGGAGGAGGTGCTTCAGCCCCGGCTCCGGTGCCAAGGCACCAGSGTGAGGGTCTGAGGGTCCACGGTGCCCTCCAGCATCATCGCCGAGACACAGAGCTGGGAAGGGAGGTCAGGCAGTGCAGGGAGCAGCGGCAGTGAAGGCAGGGCAGGGCTGCGGCATTTACAGGCAKAGAGGGCACATTTTGAGTCCAAAAGCAGCAAGCACCGGGTGGCCGAGGCAGCGGGATCACACCGGAATGGCCTTCCTCCTCCGAGGGTGCGGGAAGGAAGCGTGAGCAGAGCAGAGACGCTGCAGGTCGGGCATCACGCAGCCAGGCCAGGACCAGAGGTGAGATCAGAAACCTCCAGAGCGGAGCAGCCTCACAGTCTGCGGGGCTCGGTGGGAGTGAGGAGGGCTGGAGCTCAGAGCAGCCCCAGCAGTGATGCGGTCCTGAGCGCAGTGATGCCGCCCGGGGTGGGACGAGCTCAGCAGAGCTGCTCCAGACTGGTGGGGGTCCCTCTCAAGTGGTTCCTTTCTGGCCTCGGCTCCCCTGGGAGCCCAGCTCAGATGCCCAGCGCTGTCAGGGACCCCGAGCTGGTGATCTTYCTGAAGCGGTTGGCAGCGCACACCCCAATGAAGTTTTTCTGTGAAAGCAAAGAGGAAAGGTGCTCATCCTGTGGCACTGGAGGTTGAGCCAGACCCTGCTCTGGGGCTTGACACTGCTCCTGCCTCTAAAAGCTGCTCTTGGGATTGGCTCAGGGGTAACCAGCACAAAGGGACCCTGTGCTGGGGGGTCTCACCTCAGGTGCATCCATGCTCAGAGGTGCCCAGCCCCGTGCCCCAGCTGCCAGCAGCACAGCGAGACACAGCCATTCTCCATGTCCCAGATGCCACCCCCCAGGACAGGCAGAGTCTSGCAGCCCCCTCCCAGCCCCCTCAGAAGCTGCTGACCCTCATTCCCTTGCTGGCCCCCCACACCTTCCAGCGCCGCCGCATGACGTATTTCTTGAGCAGCACTTGGGACTTGAGCCGCCGGTTGGAGCGTTTGGCCTTTTCTGCCAGATTATTGAGCCAGGGATGCTGCAGGCACTGGTCAGCACTCATCCGGGCACTGGGGGTGAGAGAAGCCCATGTCAACCCTGCTCGAGCCCCTCACCCCCCAAACACCCTCTTCTCCAGCCCCAAAACCCTGCAGGGAGGAACCAGATGGAAGGATGAGCCCAGGGCCTAGTAGGGCTGGGCAGGATCCCAGCACATCGTGTTTGGGACAGGTGTCCCTGGAGGGATGCAGGGCACTGTTGGGGACAGTCAGAGTGGGGTTCATTTGGTGCAGGACCCAGGGGATGCTCCTGGCCTAGTGAAGAGGCAGCACGTGGTACCCAGGGCAGTTCTGGGGATGCCCACCCCAGGACCCCATGGCCACTGCTGGCCTCACACCTCTTATCCTTGATGATGAGGTTTGACACGAAGTCCTTGGCCTCRTCAGAGACACTCTCAAAGGTCTCCTCATCGAAGTACCAGTTGGCAGCCAGGACATTGTTGAGTGTCTCGGTGTCATCATCACCCAAAAAGGGGGAGAGACCGCTGAGCCTGGGGGGCAGGGAGGTGAGGAGTCGGGTGCTCTCAGGCTGCAGCACCTCCCAGACCCCCTGGAACAGAGCCAGCCTGGCCAGAGCTGCTTCAGGGATGAGTCTCTTCCTGCCCCCCAGCCCCACATGGCAATCTCCCCATCAACA